TATGATCTCTCTTGCTAGTTCCTGTCAGTACTCTGGCTGCAGCATTTTGGATTAACTGGAGGCTTTTTAGGGAATTATTGGGACATCCTGATAGTAAAGAGTTACAGTAGTCCAGCCTGGAAGTAACAAATGCATGGACCAGTTTTTCATGCCATATACTGGAAAGGTTATAGGTCTGTTTATTATTATTTGTGCATATAGATGTACAGAAATGTTTGCAAGCCATACAAATCAAAAGACTGGCACAATAATTCAGTGAGGCCCCTGTGAGTCAGGCTCAAGATTGTCAACTCAATTATTTCCTTACCGTGAGCTTTCAAATATAATTCTCTAATGATAACAGGTTCATTTATCTTGTTATCTCAAAACAACATGTGGCTGATTTCTCAAAATAATGAATCAATTATGAAGAATTAAAAAAAAAAAAGCATGTGCTTCCTTTGATCACACCTGATTTCAGTTTGAGATCATTGCCCTGAATGTCAGTGAGGCTTCATAACTGAACAGTACTTACTGTACAGTGTATTGTGTAGCTTTGTTTGCTGCAGTCATGTCAATAGAGCACACAATATTGTTTTACAGAAGCTAAAAATAAGAGGGTGACAAACTTACATTTCTCTACTTCGCCCTGCAGCTGCTCAAATAAAAGCTATTATAATGGCAGAGGCAACTGTTAGAGACAACATTAAGGCCATTCAGTTTGCCAGGCAATTTGCAAGCTCATCCCATTGATTTTACTATGAGGATTACTAGTCAACAAAGACACACCTCCTCCTCTTCCTTTTGCATTCTGTTTAAAACTCAACTGCAAGCTAAATACAAAAGCACTGGAGTATAATGTTCAGAGTGTATTCATCGACCTATAAGAAAGCCAATTATCAAAAAGAGACTGAGTTGAAGTGACGTTATCCCTCCAATGACATATGCCTTTTTGCCTAGGGTGAGCAGGGTGAGGCAACCTAGGATGACACAGCGGATGCTGTTTTGGCTTGGTCTTCTATTTGTGCCACATGGAGAGCATGTCTTGTATTCACTTTATGGTCTAAACTCCAACAATCCCAATAAATCAGTCACATCTTGGGATGCTAGAGTGAAATATGCCCTTGGGACTAAAGGATCCCAGTATGACAACAATAACAGTGCACTGCAATATCTCTTGGATTCCACATACTGTAACAAATGTCATAATTCACTAGACAGTTAATCCAGCACAGGGTTGCAGCTAGTTCTGTATCTAATGTAGTTCATATAAACAACAACAAATGAACATACAGTAAAACTTACAACTTGCCATATTTTCAAGCCTTCAGAGGCTTAAAGAATGTAAACTGTGTTTCCAAAACAAAATGATGGGGCCTATAGCATATGGTTCATTAGTTATGGATGACTGATCAGGATGGTCAAGGGATTTTTAATGGATCATACTGAATATATAGCCTGGTCCATAAATGAGTTTTGGGTACACCCACAGTCAAAATGATGTGCTCTGTTAAATGCTGGAACCCAAACATACAATGTGAGCGAGCAGGTGATGATATCTACACTGACAGTGAGCAACACGAACAGAGCTTCTTTGGGTTAAAACCAGGGTGGCTTGTTCAGTTCAGTGGCATTTGTCATACTGCACCTCTGCTGTACAATGCTATTAGCTGAAACCAAACCTTCCTGCCACAAAAAAAAATTTCAGACTTGCACTCTTATCTCCAGTTATGTTATACAGGACATTAGATCAAATATATTACAGGAAAACCATTAAGAGAATGTTGCAGTGTAGACTGTATAAATGAGTGATGTAAATTACATTTTTATTCATTGTCTGCAGCATTGAGAGCTGCTGCAGTAGAGTTGTTGTCAGGGCTTTAAGTTTACCACCAATGTCTCCTGACACATTTCCATGAATTAAAAAAGAAAAAAAAAAGTCATCATGAAGCTAAAAGTCATGACTGGACTGTGCTGGTGTATTTAGTTAGGCTGTGTACAGATGGTATCTAGACCGATTGGTTTAGTTTTTTGTTGTTTTTTTTTACATCATATTAGAAAGCTTTTGCGTTGACACGCCGAAGAGGTGCTCGCTGCGGACAGGACTGGGTCACTCACTACCATTAGGCAACCTTATTTAGCCAGGCCAAAACCCTGGGACCTGATTAAATCAAAACAGCTGGGGCTTTAGCAAGTATTACTGACTGCAGATCTGTCCCATTTCACTGATATAAGTACATCACAAGCCACACACACCAAACATTTGACTCAATTAGCTGTGAAACTACAGCAATATAAGCTTAGGGAACGTCACCTAAATACACAGACAATGTGATCTCAAGTGTGACTGTCAAACGCAGAGTATGTTCACACTTTTAATGTGTGAACATTTATATAATATCCAAACATAGTCCTCCTACATTGTAAAGGGCTGTAAACAGAGGTGAGTATTTGAAGGAATAACTGAAGGAAATGTTTAGAAAAAGCCTGTGATAGCCTGGCAACCTGTCCAGGGCGTACCCCACCTCTTGCCCAATGTCAGCTGGGATTGACCTCCCAGCACTCTTTATCTGCACCCACACATTCAACACTGGCCTCTAGAGCAATAACTAACTAGTACTGTGTGACAAACAACTCCTGTAGTCAACTCAGTAAAGGCATATAGCATGTTCACCAACACTACTCAGAACACAAAGCTATTTATGCTTCCTGCTTATCCTTTTACCAGCAGACCTCTCTAAAACCCCAAAATTAAACCATTTCACAACCAGGTTACCCTTAAAGCTAAGAAAGCTTTTTATCACAGTCCAACAGTAGCTTTCAGCAAACCAACAACCAATCCATCACTACAACATCTTAAGTCATTATAACTCCAGCTTTAAGATCTTACATCTGCTTACCTTTCCCCAAAACACCCATTTTCTTCTCTGTCACCACATGTAGCATCAGCCATGTTTTCACAGCCCCTTCAAACAGAGTCAAAGCCAAAGTCCCGCCCTGTTTCCCATCATGCACCAGAAGGCACCTGTATACTATCTTGAAGGATGCTCCAAGCTCCTATTCCTGCACCTTATGTGGGTGGGAATAAGATACAAGGAACAGTGGAAGTGAGGGACACATGGATGCAATTAAGGGAATTGGGATTTAGAACTTGCGTATACTCTCTGCACATTCAGGCTCCAGTAATAAATTTTGTTCCATGTGAGCTGGCTGACATATATCCCATTGTGTTTACATATTAGTAAAATGCTGAGATTTCTCTTGGTTTTGGGGCTAAACACCTCTCTATTCTGAGACTGCTTCTTAGGCATAGCATGGAAAAAAAGGATTTGGGACTTTAACAAGCACAAACGTGAAGCCAAGAGCAAGCAAATTGCCTTTATCGGTGCTGGCAAGCATGGTCAGAGACAGATCAGCACTCAGCAGCCCTCTTTACTAACACCCCTCCCCATCCCATCCACAGAAGAGCTTAGGGTGGATTACACCACTTCAGCCACTAGCCACAAACGCAGATATTCCATCCTGACTTAGCTATCATCTTGTTCACCAAACACTTGGAAACTAAAAGTAAATCCTCTTTACAGGTTCAAGGGCAAGATGAATGGTTGGAAGAGGTACAGTGTCATTCATAAATACTGACTCCAACATGTACTGTACACGTCAGTTTTGGGCTTGGGTGGTATTAGAGTTGGCAGACATTGGAAGAAGCAAAACTATTCACTGTGATTGTAATGCAGAACGTGTCAATTCTGCATTACAATATAGTGTATTCCTCAGTGCACTTAACTTACTACTACTGAGAAATGGAAGTGATGCATACACTGGGTCACACTTCATTCAGTCAGTAATCTCTTATAAGTAGATATAGCAAGAGTTTTCCTTCCTGCCCTTTCCACATGGATGAAGGGGAAAGCCTAGAAGCTGAATATTCACCATAACCATTTCAATAATCTGTCCAGATTAAAAAAAAAAAAAAAACACACACAACAAAGCTAAGTATTACAGACAACATCTGGTCCACTGCATTTCCATGAGGAGAAACAGGTGCAATGCTTGCTCCACAGCAACCTGGCTGCCCTGCAACATGCTATAAGAAACTGAACTGTTAGACTTGATGGAAAAGAAGACCAAGAGGTATTCTTCTAATCTACTTGCACTTGAAGAAGGGCATTTATGCATCATGAGGACATACAGCGCATGTTTATTGCCTATGGTTATGTAAAAGAGTCAGAGGGAGTGGCCCAAACATGAAGGGGATCATTGCCCCAGGCTGTCTGTGTGCTGCTGAGTCTACATGCCATTGCATAAGACTCCTTTCAGACATATCCATGTATCCCATCCCAAACCCAAGGGATTTCTACCCACTCTGACTGACTGTCACCATTAGCGTGGTATCTGCAGGTATGTATGTATGTGCTTCTACTCAGGGGTTGGACAATGTGACATTTTACATATTATATACATTTTGTGTATAATAAACATTCAGTGTTCTTCTCCATCACGTGGAGAGAGAATACTCCCCGATGACCCCTAAAGAAAGTCTGCAACAGCAACTGTTATAACTGCTTCAATTTCACTGTTATTTACTTTTAATGACCTTTCACTGATTAATTCATCATTAAATAATTGTGATGATTTGTATAGAGCACTTATGTATAACATTTACAGAAGTGACAGCCACGGGGTCAGAGTAGATGCAAAAACACAATTTTGCACCATGTAAAAAATAAAAACTTCACTGCATCTTTGATTATTTAGATTTTTTTGTTAAGATTAGTAAAATACCATTTTAACAACTTCTAAATAAATGTATTTGGATCTATACCAGCTTTCAAATCAGCTGAATCTGTATACTGTTACAGAAAAGGCTTACTTGGATTATGTATGCACTACACACATATGCAGTGCACATATACAATTGTGCGTGGTGTGTTTTATCCTGTTATGGCACTTCTTGATTGGATAGATGTTTTGAAACAGCCAGATGGAGTGTTGATGGGAGCATTTTTGGATGTGTAAGCCCCTATGAGCCCATATATTTGAATATTTTGTCCTTCATTTTATTTTGTAATCAGCCATATTTGCACATCAGTGTATGTGTGACAGTGGACCTATGCAAATGTTCACTGTGTATGAGCGCTGAATTTGCTGAAAACACTGTTGATCCTGGCTTCAGCGTGATGAATAAAGCAACCACCTGTCTGTATGTGTGTCATAGTAATGTAGAGCAGGCCATTTAGAGCTGTTATGATAACTGCATACAACCCTTTATGCAGTTATCATACCTGGCCTCTTTTAGTGATTGGCACAGGAGAATAGATGGCCACTAACAACAGCCACTGACAAGTAAAAGTTAATTAAAGGAGTGTCAGCGAGGGGGCAGGCTGAAGAGGTTAATATTAAATGAAGGAAAGCCTCAGGGTTTCTCTCCTCTAGGAGAGGGAGGACATTAGCTATAACTTAAATAACTGGTGGGACACATTATCAGCAATGCAGGGCACCCAAAGCACATGTACAGTAGAGGAGAGAGAGTGTTTCCCTTCACCTTTGACTGACAAGGGAACACAGTTTAAGCATAATTGAACACAGCAAGAGCTGGGAAGTGGTAGAAATACCTGCCCTCTTTATAGAATAAACATTATGCTTATACTAGGTTTGAATGATTAAATAGTTTGATTAAGGTTGAAAACCATAAGATGGTTTTCAGATGTTGTCACAATATGATCTTGCTTATTCTTGGCCAGAGCTGCCTAACTGCTGAGTCATGAGCCATTACAATATTATAGTGTATTTAAATGTCCTTATAAATAAATTTTGATTGATTGAAAGTGAGATGCTGGACATTTGTATATGGTGTGGAAATGTAGCCACAAAAAAAAAAACTGATGGCAACCCGTGTACTATATGGTGCTAAACTGTCATTACAATATTTCTACATTGAATTCACTTCTACAATTTCAATGGTCACTTGAGTTTTGCAAGTTCTTAGATGATTTTAAACTTTGCAGGTGGAAAGTTCATCCTTAACTTCACCACAGTGGAAGAATTTCTACATACAAAAAGGCAAATAGGTTGTAAAAGGATGAGACACACTTTGTCAGTTTTCTCATATAATTATTTATAAATAAAAGCCTAAATGAGCACTGGTTACATATAAAAAGGTTCTATTTAGTTTCCACTATCTTACTAAGATACAAGACACGTAGCCAGAATACATTTACATATGTTTTATCACGTTTTTCATATTATTTGAGCTACTTATTTGATTTAATAACACACAATGTTCAGTTTATTTTCCAGCATATTTGAATGAAGTAAAATGACACACGAGGAGATCACTGGATGATTTGTATCGATGTACATACTAAATTTTTGCATGTAACATCAAAATATATAAAATATAAAAATATATCCTCTAATTCAAATTCTGCAGCCTGGTCTTACACCATACTAAAATACTTCAGCTTTATCACAGTCCAAGCATTTTAACACCAAAAGGGAGAGGCAGAGCTCCTAAGTGGCACTTAATAAAATGATTCACGTAAGCTGTTTGTTTTAACTATACGGCAGTGTGGGCCCCTGGCAGGTCCGCTTAGCAGCATCAAGAAGGCGGCTCAGTGTTTTATAAATGAAGTTGCTGATCTGTTGACACTATAGGAGAGCAGAAAAAAACAGAGGGCCAGAGGTGGGGTTTCCCAGATTGCACTGACCTGTTGCTTTTGAGCTATCTTAACACAGCAGACAGCCACCACACGAGCACACACATCTCTCCCTATGTTACTGGGAACCAGAACCTGATACTGGAATGAAATACTGCACTAGATGTAATTAATGAGAGAGTAAGTGGAGCTAACAATGCACAGATCCACATAGCCAAAGTCACACTCATTTTGTGTCTTTGTGGAATTTTTTAGAAGCTTGTAGCACTGCCTTGTCATAATTAATGAAAATCTCATTAATTGTGTTGTGTCACTTTTAATTAAATGCTAACTAGCTTGTTTGCATTGTGTTCAGGGATACTGTTTTCCCTGAACACTCCTAATTATGTTTATTTACTGTAATTCTACCTTTTGAGCCTAATACAGTTTGTCAGCCTTTAGGTCATCTGTAAACATGTCTGTTCATTCTACATTCCTGCCTAACAGACCTGAGGTCTGCAGTATACATATAAACAACCAAGTACTCACACAAGAAAGTGGTAGAGGAAACATTTCAATCCAGCAGGTCTCTCTAGGAAGTTGTAAACATCCCCCTGCATGCTAGTCTGGATATAAGGGCTCTGGAAATCCTTTTGATGATGATGCAGCCAGCTCGAACGAGGTAGAGGTGGCGGGACAGAAGTAATAGAGGGCCGGATGGGCATGATCTGCAGTGCTGGGTTCTTTGTGCCCACTGGTGGAGAGCAGGGAATGCCTGATCCATTATTTACCGCTGCGGAGTCCAGTTCCAGTGAAACAGGACAGTAGTGGCTGGTGTCAAGTGAAGGAGCCTGTGGGGTAGTTCTACTGGTACTAGTGCCTGTGGAAGCTGCAAGGTCCGCATCCCTGTCCTGGTCCTGGCTGAGGCTCGTGCTGGCATATCCATTGGGATGGCAACTTATAAAGGAACTCCCCATCCTGCTGCCATAGTTCCCTTGCACACGGCATGTCATATGGTAGGGGCGTGCACGTCTTTCCATGTTGCCCCCCACCCCCACACGATGGTCCAGTTCAGAGAGGGTCAAAAGGAGATCTGGAAGTCCTGGAGGCTGTGCCAAAGGTTCAGGTAGAAGGTAAGAGACCAGCAGGATAAGACACCTAGCTAGGCATGGCTAGCTACCGGCTGCAGACAAGAGCTCTCTCTGCTGGGCTGCATGTGTGGCCATTCCTGCAGTGGAAGAGGTGACAAGAGCCATGGAGATAGTATGATTGAAAACCTTGCTCTCTGCAAGCAAGAGCCTTATTAATTAATTATTAAAAATTCTGAAAAACACAACACATGAACAGTGCAATGCTTAGTTTGCTGAATCACCTTTATTTTGCTTTCCCACAAATTATGTGTTATCTTTTTTTACTACTTATCTTTTTTACAGTACAAAGTATTTCCAAATAATTCAGAATGCTTTAATGTGCTTGGAGCAACAAACCGGTGAAAGCTACCAAAAAAAGATATTCGGGAGTTTAAAGTGATGAATGTACAAAAATAAAGTCGCAGCCATGTGAATGACTGTATTTTGCCTTGTTCTCTCTTATTTTCTTTACAGTAACAGTCAGATCGTGTCAACAAAAAAAACGCTGTCAAAATCTTCACTACTTGCCAGATGTAATTTATTAAATTAATTATGTGAGTCCAGGCAACTATTAGCAGTTATTGAGATGACAAATTAAATCTACAGATGGGTGACAATTTAAAGGAAAGTCTACTATAAAGTGAACAACACAGACCTTTTTAGTAAAATGTCTCCAGAACAGCAGCAGTGCTCCTCTGCTGGAGGAATGAAACATCATTCTTCATAAACAATTTCATTATGTTCAACACACTTTTTCAAACTCAATAAATCATTCACTATCTGCAATAGCTGCAACCATTACTCAGCTCATTGATAGAAAACAACATTTTTGATTCTACCTTCTTAACTATAAGGATTTCATGCTTTTGTTTGTCGTACAGGATAATAAACTCAATATCTTTGGATTTGTTAATTGGACAAAACAAGAAATTTGAAGACACCACATTTGACTGTGGATAGTCAAAAGGGGCATTTTTACCAATATTTGACGTTCTGTGAATAAAAAGATAATCCAAAAAATAACTGTCAGATTAATCCAAGGCCCCTGCATGTTTTTATTTCCACTCATTTAATAAAGATTTTCCTTTGTCACCCATCTGTATACTAACAATAACATGAGAAGACATAGAGCTGATATAGAGAAACCATTATTTTTATTGTGTGAATTGTCCATAGGCTGCAAATGAGGAATACATCCTACATATTGTGTGTAATATATTGTAAATGTCTTGCAGTTAACCTGCAGGATAACTTTGCAAAACATTTTATATGTCCAAGCCACTTTTCCCTCGTGCAGACTTGCAATTAATTAGTGTATTAATTAGATGGTTCAGTTATCTTCTCTGGATAGACACTAAACCAGGTAGTGTGACGGATGGCCGGATGTTGCTTAAAAGGATCGGAAAAGTCTCCTGGGACATAAGAGAAGACTAATTGAAGGCCCCATCCACATCTGTCTTCAAGTATGGATGAACTGATGACAAGAGCCACACGCGCTGCTGTTTCCCTGTAGATTGGGTTTCTACCTTTAAAACTACACAGTCACCAGACACAATGAACTGTCAGACACGCACGGGCTTCTGTGGGACTCTACAGTTACAGAGTATTGTGTGACTTTCCATCAAACTGAACCGACCCATGGAACCTGTAACACCACCTAAATGACTGCATATGGGTTACAATAGTGAACATCCAGCTTCCACTCCCCAAAACATCCCTTTTTTTTTTTCATTTCAGACCTTAAAGAATTAAACATGCCAAACTAATGTGTCAAATCTTACCTGCAAAAACACACCTCAAGTTGAAATCTTGCCGATAACGTGAAAATATCTCTGATGCCAGGCAACAAGTTCGGCTTTTTCCTTTTTATGAAAACAGGATCCAGCAGTAAATTAACTTAAATACATAGGTTGGAAGTTATCTCCCGGCGCTCAAAAACATATGCAACATTGATAAAGCAGAAAGAGTACAAGTCTTCAATCGGTTCCTGCCTGCAGGGCTTATCCCTTTGAAGCGCATCGCAGCTTGTGCCTGAACACATGCTGCATTCAAGGGTCAGGGAAATGTTTGAAATCATATCGCGAGCAAACAACGGTATTCTAATATTCTATTATTACCGAATAGCTGAAAAGCACAGGTAACTGTGGGCTACCATATATGTGAAAACGTAAATGTGCAGCAAATACAGCAAAAATGTATTTTATAACCTGCTGTAATATATAAAGAGATAATTATTTGTGATCGCTTAGCCATATTTGACAAAATGGAGTATTGTGTATTCAGAGTATGAGTGATGAAGTGAACAATTAGGCCTACTTTACTCATTGATGAATCCACTTTTTTAAATTTCATAAAATTGTCATTGTCAAAAATGTGGAAAATGCCCATCATGAGGTTCCTGAGTCAGAAGTGATGCCTTCAAAGTGATTGTGCTGTCCTACCAACAGTATAAATCCCAAAGGCTTGGTATGTCTGGTTGAAACACAACTTCATTTAGGAAAGTACAACATTAAACACCGAGGGGGGCTGGCTATGTGATGTGATCTACTAGTCTGTCCAGGAATTTCTCCTAAAACACCAAAATACACTAGCACAGACCGCGTTTAGCACTTGCTATATAGGAAAGACAATTTTCCGAGGGTAAATGAACGCGCCACAGCTTTCAAAAAGCAGCAGCTGGCAGCGGGGCAGCCGCTGGATACACATAATGCACTAGTGTAAATAAAAATGAAGAAGGCTTACTGTCATTATGTTCTCGCTAAAATATTTTCTATGCTTCTTTATTAGCGTATTGCCTTCGCCTGAATGATTCCCCTTCATACAATATGAATTGCGTTACTGGGTTAACCACTGTGGAAAAGATGTGTTTTATGCCCCTACTGACTATAGGCTGACAGTGACAGAATTATTTCCCCTTTCTGTCTAGCTGAAATTATTAACTCAAACGATTAACCAATTATATGATATAGAATTAATTGGCAAAAAATTGAATATGCAATAGCTTATACAATATAACCTAAATCAATTCATGACTCCCATTACACGAGAAGGGACAGAAGCTTGGGGATAGAGAACTCGATGTGGTGACAATTTCCAGCAAATTTTCGATTAATTAAATTATGTAGACGCAAAGGATAAAGGATAGTAAACCTAGCGCTTTCAACTAAGAGTCCTTGTAAGTGGCAGTTGTCCGCTTTACCCCGATGGTGTGATTTCACACCTGTGCTCACCTGTAGGGGGCACCAAACGTCTAGTCTTCTGTAAACATTTCACAATTCCTACCGTTTGTACCTCGCCAGTTGCCGTATTCATTGAGAAAAACATGGCTACCCACAGAAGAATGGCATTTTTGTGTTTAGCTCGAATAAATGTTCTTGGCCTACAGAAATCGGTTAACAGAGTCGCATATGCGACGGCTTTGTCTGTAAAATCTTCTACTGGAAATAAACGTGAGTTTTACCTGTCGCTGTTAAAATAGCTGACGCTAACTTAGAACCATAGCTGCACGCTAAGCTAATGTAACTGCTCGAGATGCTGTCAGTTGATAGGCTACCTCCGTCCCTTTGAAAGTGATGTGCTTTTAGAGTTAGGATCTTTCTAACCTTGATGGATGATTAACTAGGTAAATGGAGAAAACTGATGTAGAGATGTAGGCAAAGCTGTCTCGGTTTTCATACTTCTGCATTTGCTACTCAGGTGACATGTTCTCTCTCCATCATAAGCTACCTTCCGGCCGGCGACCACAGTATAATAATTATAATAATGATTATAATAATGTTCTTCTTCTGTTGTTTTTGGCGGCCGGAAAACAGCTCACAGTATAATCAGTCCGGAAATCCAAATAAAATTAAGGTTATGAGAAAGTGCCAAGCGGAATATAACCACGTTCTGATGTTTTACAGACAAACGCCCCAGATGGGGAAATTAAGGAAGGAGAAAAACAACAGTATATTTAAAGAAACCCAAGAAGACTAATGCATATTAAACATACTATACATGATTAAGCAATCTGATGATTGTTTTCTCAACTTTTTTGTTTGTAAGATGTCAAGAAAGAGTAGAAATGATCCATTACACTTTGTTGAAATTTAAGGTGATGCCATCAGATTGCTTGTTTTGTTTGGCAGGAGGTCCAAAATCCAAAGATTTATTTATTTATTTTGGTTCAGTATCACAAAAGACATTGTAAATTCTTAGGATTAAGAAGCTGGAGTTAGAAAACCTTTGACATTTTTGCTTGACAAATGTCAACATGACTGTAGATTTATCAAATACAAATCAAACGTGATTGATTTCAGCTAATTATTTCAGTTGTAAACCATATATACAGTCTACACACATCCAAACTATACACACAGTATGTAGTTTTTTTTTAAACAATTGTTTATAAACAAAATCACAAAGTAAATACAGTAAGTACATGTAAATAAAAAATTGCACATTACATTGGATCTTTGTGGTGTGAAAGTGGCTTGTGTCTGAAGGTAGTTGTGTCAGCAGCATTTTTAGGGCGTTTTGTTGGGTTAACAAAGTTTGGATGTATGTGTTTATTTGTGAACACACCCTGGCTAAACTTGTATTATTATCAATTTTAGGTCTTCCAGATAGAAGCAGTAGGAAATCCATGGGTAGAAAGAGAGATGTAAGTGTGCAACTTTTAAGTCTGTTTTTTTGACAGTGATGAAGAAGATGAACGTATACAAATTAAAGGAAAAACCAACAAAGTCTCTTAGTAAAATGCTGGCCCATCATGTGCCACCAGAACCACTTCAACGCACCTTGGCCTTGACTCTACAAGTTACTGAACGCTACTGGAGGGATGAACATATTCCCTCAGTAGTGCTTTGATGATCGTGGTGGAGATGCTCTCTAACACGTTGGTCCAAAATCTCCCATAGGTGTTCAACTGGGTTGAGATGTTATGATTGACATTATTTTTATACTCACACTATTCAATGACCCCTTTTGTCCTCCCATCTTTATAGATATCACTCATTGGTTCAGGTTTTCCTTTAATTTGTCATCTGTCTGTGCATTAAATGAGACAAGATATTTAATTAGAAATCTGATGACAGTCCTTACTGAATAGACCAGACATGATGATTTTCATTTTTAAAAAACAGCTATAGTTCCCCAATGAGCAGTCATTAATTTTCTCATAGTTTCTTAATGGAAAAGCTTCTTTTGCCATCTGTGTTTTGGGCATCAGGTAGAGGAGCCCAGGACACAAAAGATGCCAGTGGATCAGGACTGGACTGCAGTTTATCCAGCTGCAGCACCCTTCAAAGCAAATGCAGTCCCTCTACCAGTTAGGATGGGCTACCCTACGAAGGGAGGTGTTCCGCCAGAGAAAAGGGGCAACTTGGAGCTGATCAAGGTCAGGCTTCATTATTTATAATAGTCAGGACATTGTAGTGCTTCCTGTTATTAAAAAATAAACAAGAAAACATAATTACATCCTCAGTCAACAATAACAAATAGAGAGCTACAAATGCTTACATATTAGCTACTACATTAAGTTGCTGTGCTATCTGCACATGATTTAAAAGATTAAGATCTTATACAGACAATGTTTAGCTATGTGGGGATGTTCTATAACTATTGATCAGTAGTGTATATCTTAGCATTTGCCTCCTAGTATTCATTATGACTAGCTAGGTTAATTGTAGCAGGCCAGTGCTCTCACAGCAGTGGTGGAGCACCTTTTGCTTTGCTGCATGTCTCTGATGGCTCTATGTCTGTGCCCGGATTACTGAGCTGCTGTGTCCAGACGCCAGCTGCTCCATCTGGGCTCAAGCCGATTCAAGCAGATCCACTACGTTCAGCCATCACAGCTGGAGCTTTGCTGTGCAGCCTATATTCTCTTGCTCTGCCACGAGGGGCTCTACTGCTGTGCACCCCTTATGTTTAAAGCTTCAATCTTTTACTTTTTTATCTCATAGACGTTGGGCTTGTGTCCAAACACAATCCAACGACGCTACCGACAAGAAGTTATTTTGATGTCAGTATAGAATGTGTTATATAATTGTATGCATTATATAATATCCTCACCACAAAGGATGAAGAGGATAGATTTAGTGTGCGACTTTGTTTACCATGCACAGGGATGTAAAACTGCTGCACATTTTCACCTTTGTTACATGAACAGTCATGTCATCTTTCACTCATAATCGCTTTCAGATACCAAACTTTCTGCATTTGACACCGGCAGCCATCAAGAAACACTGTGAAGCTCTGAAACGTAAGTTCTTTAAAAAGCTATTTCTCATTACGTTCAGCAGCGCATTAATCTTGCCTTCTAAACAAATACGTGGGCTTCTTTGGCATGTATATTTTTCTGCTGTCAGCATTCTGTACAGAATGGCCCTCTGCCTTGGACACTGATGCCAAATGTGACGAACACTTCCCCATCAAAGTCGAAAGCACAGACTACGTGTCTGCTGGCCCATCTCTCAGAAACCCTTTAGCTCGTATTGTTCACCTCAAAGTGAGTTTCTTTTTTTTTTTTTTACAATTTCTGTAAAAATGTTTTGACCTTAGTTTTAGCTGGGTTTTGTGGAACAAAAGCTTATGTGAAAAAAACGTTGCCTAATCAATCAGATTTATGTTTCACTTGTGATAATCTTAGGTAAAGCTGTCCAGTTTGAATTTGGATGACCATGCACGCAAGAAAATGCTCAAACTTGTTGGGGAGAGATACTGCAAAGATACCGATGTCCTCACCATCACAACTAACAGGTAAACACTGCTTCCTCTCTATATACTACAATAATAAACTCAAAGAAATAAAACAAATGTCAGTAAATCTCAGCCTTTTCATTTCTGTCTCTACCAGCTGCCCACTGAGAAAGCAGAATCATGACTATGCCATGTACCTACTAACTGTCCTTTACCACGAGTCCTGGGTGAGTTGAAACCTGTTCCCTCAACACTGTATAGTATTCATAACAGATTTCTGTGTTGTCTGAAGATTGAGCAGACAGATACATCAGTTACAGTGACTGCATAAGGATAAATACACACAAACAAGAAGCAGTTGCCAGAGTGACAGAGTATTATCAACAAGCCCCTTTAGGCTGAAAAGATTATTTAAGCCAGACAGTCCAAAAATCCAACTTCAGCCCTTGTGACAAACTGTATCATGGGTGAGCCGAAGCACCTGCGTCTTTTCACTGTTCGCTTTTGTCTCAGGTTTCTTGTGACTTGGTCTTTTCCTCCTGTTTACTGATCTTTCATCTTCTTTCAATAAGTATCCATTCATTCAAAGGCCAGTGGCTCTCTGGTATCACTACTACCACCGCCACTCTCCTTCAGTGTGTTTGAAATCAGATGAATAATAATGCCCGAGCTCATACACTGATGCATGAAGGGGTTTCAGTGGCCAACATTAACACTCATATGTACTGTGTAGTTTAACTAAGTTATACCTAAACATTTAGTGTAAGTCATATAAAATAAGTAAGAGGAAATACCGCATTTGGATAACAGATCAGAACGTGATCCCATCATTAGGGAAACCAGTTTTTGGTTAGAGGTTCCATGGTCGAGCTCTAATTTGTTTTTGTATTTTGTGAGAAGGTTGGCTTTAAAATGTTACAGGGAAAATATCCTATATGAAGTTTCCAAAAAAGAAAGAGAACAAGAAAATCAGTGAGAGATTTTTAATCCTCTGTCTACTATCACTTTGGCACAGGGGTCTTGTCGTCCATCTTGCTCTACGATCTGAGACTAAGCCCATTAAGGAGGTGTCAGACTTGAATGGGTTAGAAGGATGGCAAACAGCAGCATTGTCCATTTGACATTTCCCCACCACTGAGGGGAAAACAGACTCCCCTATCAGGTGTTGACCCTGATACGAATTCACATTAAGCCAACTATTAAGCTAACACATTAAGCATCAGAGAACTCTACCACCTGGTCATTAGCCCAGGTGCTGCTCACATGATATTGCAGCCAGCTACATAAAAGTAAATGACTCCCCTTATTGTACATTGCTGCCTTTAGGAGCGTTTCCCGTCATGGCTTAGGCGCATTAATAAAAATCTCTCTCAGCTAGCAAAGGTGTCCAAGCCAGGAAGCAGAACACTGTCCACTGACCTTTTAGACACATAATGGAAGGCACAGTGCTTGTCCGGCATGCTTGTGGAAGCTGTGAGAGCGGCATAACGTTCAGGTTGTAACACTAGCCTTTCGGGCTAGTGTTACAACCTGAACACTACAAAGAGGCCAATTGTTAGCAGCCACTGGGGTTACTTTATTTTAGCAGTCAGGGAGACGGACCTTTTCTGCTAATTCCAGTGTGTACTAATTCAGGAGAGTGTTGGGGCTGACTGCTCAAAGCTGCCTCTTGCGGGGGGTGGACATTTACCACTAGAGAGACTACTTTTTTTGCAGCAAGATATATAATAGAAAACGTTTAAATTAAAACTCGTCATTTTAATAGGTCATTGTTTCACGGGAATATACTGATCTGCTCCCAGGGATCTAGGGCTCTTCACTCACTTGGGCTTGGACTGATCCAGGGAGGATCTTCTGTAGATCAGATGCATATACCAGTAATGATGGTCGTTAACCTCAAACACCCAGAGAGCAGCAGAGCAGAGGCTTTGTTGTTGCCCTGCTTTAAGCTACTGCACAATGGAGCATATTGTTCTCAAGGGAATGTGAGGACAGCTAGACGGCAGTGGATGGAGCAATATATATGGAGAAATATTGCTGTAAAAGGAGCATCAAAGAAGGGGTGAAGGGTGAACAAGAATGCCATATTTTACATCTATTGCCACACTGTGTTTCAAACTAGAGGCATATCAACTTGTTAATATCCTTTGTTGCTACCTACCCTGAAGGAAAAAAAACCCCAATTAACAGTGTTAGTCTGACATAACTAATGTATGTTATCACGCATATACAGTTCAAATATACTACAGGCAACCGCTCAGGTTGGGTCGTTTTTCCACCTGCATGTAAAGTTTACAGATGTTCCATTTTTCCCCAATCTTCAGAAAACAGAACCCTGGGAGGCTGAGAAGACCGTGGCAGACATGGAGGAGTACAGCTGGGAGGACAGCCCATCCCAAAAGAATCTTTTAGATATGCTATTACGCATGAAAGTGGCCGGGGAAGGAGAAGGCGAGGAAATGCAAGAGCAGCTGCTGAGAAGAAGTGAGGTGCAGGAGTATAAGAACTCGGTCGTAAGGTTGAAGAACGAAGGGGACAGTGAGAGCGCCATGCTGCAGTACAAAGAGGCCGTCAAGAAAATACTCAACCTGTAATACAGCTCAATGAACAAATGTAATTACATGAAGGCGGTCACCGACAGCAGTAGGGATCTGTAGCAGGTTCTACTAAATATTTTTAAATGCAGTTTGGGTTTCATCTACCTACCAGTAACACAAGAGTTTACTGTAGATCGTTACTGCTCCAGTATACATCAGTCTATTACAGCCTCGTGGGTCTCAGATAATGCATTTATTTTCCAAAATAACCTATGATGACGCCTTTAATACAAAAATAAAAACAATGTATGCTGTTGTTAGCGAGTGCTTTGTCTTTGAAGATTGAAAGTTGCGTGACGTTCATGTCTATGACGACTAAAGCTTTTAGGTAATAAAAGCTCCATTCAGTTAGTTCTTGGCCCAGCGTCTGTGCCCATTCCACTCTCTCCATCACTGTCTGGTCAAGGAGCAGGACCCTAGCTGAAAGGATGCTTTCTGTAGCAGGATGTTGAAAAGTACCTCACCCTCTTAAAGAGTATTGGTTCCTGCACTTCTTGGCTGGGAGGAACCCAATGCACTGATGAGACATGCAGGACTACAGGAAAGTCACTGCAGGTCACAAGGCAAATAGCAGGCCATCTTCAGCCCAGTGTAGACAGCAAGCAAATATCTTTAAGGTTTGGTAAAATGTAGTTCAGCCAAAATGATTTTCTTGAGGCAAACTGCTGTGGTCTGGCTGAATTTGGGTCTTCTGTTTAAAATCATTGTGTCATAATTGAAATCAAGCTTGTGTCAAATATGTTTTTGATAATAACACAGTGTTGCCTGCTCAAATATCGCTTCAGCCTCACTGCATCACCTGACAGTAACTACGACATGACCTTAAAGCAATATGAAGCTGCATCCTTGCTATATGAATAATGGAGTCTGTGAAAGGATTTAAAAAAAAATGTAATGGACAAAATTCTCTTCTTTCTAGATTCCATCATAAAAAAATTGCAGTTTCAAAAGAAATATCAGTTCCAGCCCATCTTTCACAAACTGTCTCTGACCAGCACATACTTAATCAGACGCATGGAGCCTCTTTTCCCTGTCCGTGATGTCCGGTAGCATCCCATCCTCTTCCTCTGACCCCTCCAGCTCACAACCAGCAGAATGGAGCAACAGCAACTCAGTAGTACCGTGATACAGATGGACACTGCAACCAACAAGGTGTGTGTGGCTGTGTGCCATCCGGGTTCCAACCCCTCTGTGGTGTTCTCTCTGCTGCCTGCAGTGTGGTTCCTCCCCAGGCTGCCTTTGGTAGCATCGGGGTGCTGCTTACTGCTCTCTACGTGGCCCATAACTGCTGTGGTAGTTGGAGGGCTGGTGGCTGACTGAGGAAAGGTAGTGGCGTGATGATGGGTAGAGGTGGATGTGGAGTGCTGTGCAGATGTGATAGAAAAGCCAGGAGTGGTCTGCACACTGTAATAGCTAACTGTGGTTGATGGAGGAGGAGGAGTAATGCTGTGTGTGGGAGAATTAAAGAAGGTGGTTGGGGTTATTGTTTGTGCATGTTTCTTAAAGACTGTTACAGGAGCAGCTGAAGTGGAAGAGAATGTGGCTGTAGTTGTGTGAAGTGTTGTAGGCTGACCGGTGCTCTGCAGCGTAGTGGCAGCAACGGTGGTGAGCACTCTGCTTACTGGGATGGGGAGTTTTACTGTGGGGGCTGAAGTCAGAGGCAGGGAAGCAGGTGGAGGCGGGTGGATGAACTGGCGCTTGTCTGAGGGCAGTGGCTCTGAGGCATTGACTCGACTGTAGTGGTGGGGTAATACACGCACATTGGATGTGAAGTATTTTCCAAACACCAGCAGGTCAGGATCCACACCTAGGACATGAAGACATCCATGAGCATCTTTTTTGATAGTTAAATACATGTAGGCTTCACACAATATAGGATTTTAATGCGAATAATCAGTGAATTTTTATTTTATAAAGTTTTTTTATTTGCTTCAAATGCAATAAAAGGGGGGATGCTGTTTCATTAGATGTAGTAGCACCAGTAGTAGGTCTAACTAGTGGACATAATATTCAGATCCTTTACTGAAGTAACTATCAATACCACACTGAAAAAAAATACTTTGTTACAAGTAAATGTCCTGGAGTCAAAATCTTACTCAAAGCATTAGAAGTATTTGTAGAAAACATGATTTGAAGTATTAGAAGTGAAATTACATTTTATATAAAAAAGATTATCCCCTGTTATAGTATTAGATTATTGTTATTGATGCTTTTGCGTGCATGTGACTGTTAGAGATAGCAAATTTATCTACTGTTGAGCAGTTTAGTGCACTGAAAGGCATTTTCAGCACTTACCCTTTGTGATATTGTAGAGAACAACATTGCCTCTGTGACCAAGGATGCAGCTCTCCAGTGTTGGACAGTGCAGGTGGAAGCAGTTGACGTTTTCTTGAGTGGTATCATAGTGAAATATGGCCAAATTACAAGAAACTGTGAGGAAAAAGGACGAAATATGAACGAACAAGAAGAGCGCTCTGATGCACGGCTCAATATTTGTGTGATCCAGAAACTTACAGTTTCTCGTAAGGCAGCAGGTTCGGCTGCATTTCAGCGCAGTCTCCTCCTGGTAATGCTTCAAAAGCTGCGCTCCTCTCCTCTGAGATTCCTCCATATCGATGAAAACACCCGGGAAGCGTCGGATCCAGCAGTTTTTATAATAGGACGTCGGCGAGCACTTGGACTCGGTGTGGCACACCAGACTCAAAGCCGTCAGCAAACCCCATGTGACATTCATTGCGCACACGGTAAATCAGATCATGTTAAATTACACTCAGTAAAATCCAAAATACTCGGACGCGCGAAGTGGAGACAGCGGTCTGGTTTTACTGGTGCCAGTCCCGCTGCAGGTGTGTCACTGCTACGCACCTGGAAGAGGTGGAGACCCAGTCGTGTCCGGACTGTGCTGTCTCCTCACACACAGTGGTACAAACTGCTCGGTCTAATTTCTACAGCGCTATAATACACATATTAACATGAGAATATAAAAATCTTTTTAAAAGCCAAATTCGATTAAAGTTATTTATAGTAAAGTAAAACGTGCTCGTTATAGAAACTCGAGCGAACAAAACAGTACCTCTGCTCTCGTTGGGATAATATTAATAAGATGTTAGAAAGGATCGTTATATCTGTGGCAATCTGCCTAAAACCATTTATGTCATTATCAGATTAAGCCTTTCACTCCACGAATTTGGATTTGCTATACCTGTTAGGCTGTTTCTCTCACCTTGTGTGAGTGTCTTCATCGCAGTATTATAACATTTTGACTAAAAAGCTTATGGAAAACTTAAGGGGAAGCAATTCTGTAGAAATGGTTTGATGTTTTGGCCCAACGTGTCGAGTTTCACCATGAACTGCCAAACTGATGCGGCTAGAAAATGTGTAATGATGTCTGACCACCACCAGATGGCAGTGGTCAACTTCCATTCAACAACTGTCCCAGATCCATCCTACACACCAATTAAAAGGTAGGCAGGTAAGTAGCTTTGGACCAACACTAACATAATACAAACTGTGCATGGATGGACATTAAACTGCTACTTTGCCAATCAGATGTGAGGATTTACTGTTGCTGCTTTCTGTTTTATATCATTGTAAGTGGACTATTATAAAAACTGCACCGTTGATCAGACAAAACAAGCAATCTGAAGATGTCACCTTAGACTGTGGGAACTTGCATTGACAATTTTTCACTTTGTTGACATCATGTAGTCATTCTACTCTATTCATCAATAGAATGACCAAAAAATTAATCAATACTGAAAATAATTATACGCTGCAGTTCTTGATTTAATACTTACCATTTTGTTTTCTGGTGTCTTCCTGAAGTTGTGTCACCAACTTACAATTAACTGTCATTTCTCTCCAGCTGCAAGCAGCTTCTCTAGTTCCTTTGTGCATTGCATTGTGGGAAATGTGTGCCCATCAACAGCACACTCCAAAATCAAGCAGATTTACTGATATCTTTTGTATATTTACTTTTGTCAACCCTCCAGTACAATGGAATTTAATTTCACAGCTTCCTGTTGTGAAACAATTTTGAAACTAGTCCTAAATATACACTATTATTCTACTTATTCTATTTACAAAATGTAAATATTGATAGTCATAACTAACAGATGAGCATGTTTCTATATGCATTTGACATCTATCATCTCAGAGGTATTATAAAACCATTTTTAAAGGTGCATAAAGTTTATGATATATAGTTATGTTTCTAAAGTAATCTGTATCCTCAATGATGTAACCTGAAGATCAGGATATGTGTACACTTACTTCTAAGAAATATATAGGATAAACCCCTATATATTTGATGACATACAGTATGTCATTACAATTATGCCGTGTGTAGCAGGGAGTGACAACAGTTTTCAAAGAATTCAAAACAGCAACATAGAAGAGTTATGAAAGAAACGCTTGTATTTTCATCTGACACTTCAGGCCAAGTAACAGTTACAGGTAACTTTTGTAATCAGCTTACAGATCCAAATCTGATTCAAGTTAGCAGTGTTATTACGTGCCTTTTGGTGTAGTCAGATAGTTTTCCATCAAAAACAGTAAGACAATACAGGGAACATATAACATTAAACATCAAACAAAGTGAATACAATAATCATCTTAGCCTCTTATTTCCATAACTCTGTTTAGAAGAGATGGATGTGGCACTGTACATAATTGCTCAAATAATACAAAAGATTGGCACCAGAAAACAGTGATACTTTATAGATGTGCAAAGGAGAGATTCTTTGTCTACTTTCAGTTCCTTTTTCCCATTGTAATTCATATTTAAGTCACAAGGCAGCACCCTGAAGTAGCCACGCTTCTCTGTAGCAAACATCTCCTGCACATGCACATGTAAAAGAATCTAAATCAAAAACAAGCACTAGTAAAATGAGTGGGAAACACCACAACTGACAACTCTCTCATGCAGGTCTTCTTGGCTAGGTTTGGCTCCTTTGGTATAGCGACCACAGTGTATCTACTGTATCATGGTCCTCTTCTTTCTTGTTACTTTTCATCTAAAGCCTGTTTCAGCTTCCACAGTCCCAAATCCACCTCTCCCTCAGCAGTAGTAGTGTTCCTGGGCATGTTGACAAAGCCAGTATTTCTCTGGGCTCCTGACTGAGTTGTATAGTTTCAGCTTTAAGCTCACGGAGCAAGTAGTCCATTGTTTTAGTGTTGTTGCTCATTGAGTTGCTACAATGGTTCTAGAGCAGATAAGTTCCAACTGTGTGACTGTGTCAGTCTTTGACTAGCCTGTAAATATGATGCTGCGCACCGTGCTCACTAGTGGACACCTCAAAGACATAGGCTATGCACAGCAGGGTCTCCAGTGTGTCCCTGTTAGTCACCACCTGTAGACAAACACAGAAGGTCCTGTTCAGTCATACCAAGATAAAAAACCTACCTAACCTTGGTTACTTTTAAAAATCATCCTACCCACAGTTAGAAAAAACAAACTGCAATGCTGACATTGAATTTGATGTATTCACTGCTATAATTGAAATGTGTTTTGCTTCCTCAGTAGAGCAGAAGAGACTCGGTATTTAAACAATCATAAGGCTCTCAAGTGAAATCCAGACAAACCCTAATGGGATTGGGTCAGATAAGTTGTAAAAATGCACAGAAATCAAATGAATTCAAGTAGTCGTTGTGCACAGAAATCAAATGAATTCAAGTAGTTGTTGTGCAGGAGCGACCTCCATCACCTAGGCAATGGACAACATGAGCACCTTATTTGGCAGTTAGTAAAATCATAATATCAGCTTAACATAACATAATTAAAAATAAAATGTGAAGGTTACTAAATAACACATAACACACTTTAAACTAATGATGAATAATACATGATACATGATCTCTATGGCTGATAACACAGCAGGACAAGCACAAAACAAGCACACAACATCACCATTCATAATGCTTAACTGCACTGCATTGAATACAACACTGACAACAGGAGGCATATTGATCATTGTGCCTTGAATTGTGGCATATGTGCACATGTACTGCATCTGTATGTGTGTGTGTGCCTGCCTGTGTCTGTGTATGTGTGCATATCTGTTTAGGAGCTGTTCATGGCTAATATGAACTAAATCAACCCATTGAGAAACCTAATTACATGCTGTCATGTAGTTGTCAGTGTGGGCTCAATATGGTCATTGTCCCTTGGCCAGTAGGAATGCAGCCCCCAGTGGAAGGGACACCAGTGGGTTTGAATCCTGATGTTGAGGACTATTTTGTTACTATGGTGAAACACCACTCTATTCATTTCCCTGTGTCCACTTTCTGACACAGAGTCATTGAGAAAAGTCCAACTTACGACCAAAATAGGGAAAAACATGTTTTAACTCTGCAAGAGTTACTGAAACATTACTGTTCCTAGACAGTGAAGAAAGTCTGCCTGCTGTTAATGGTCTATCAGTTATCCAAAGGAAATATCACAGTACAGCCATATTTGTTTAAAAACCAAACAGTCTTCTTGTATCATACCCTTTACAATAGTGGGATTCCTGCAAATAAACACTTTGAATTTTAAAGAAAGTGCTTGCACACATACTGAACGTCCACATGGCCCTGTCCGCTTTATCAGCTAAGAATGGCATCAAAGGAATTAGATGAATGATGAAGGACAGTGAATGTGTGGCAGACAAAGACTTTTATCCAGATTTAGTTAAGTCAAGATAATCTTTATAAAGACACCATAAGCAGTATTTTATGAGCAGGGATATCACAATGAAGTTAATATAATCAGCTGAAACCAACAGTGAATGGGATGGACTGTTGCTACAGTATTCCTTAAGGCTTCGCAAATAATTCTTAAAGCAATTATTTGGCATTTTAGGAAATACACCGTGCCAGGAGTTAGGTGAGAAGATTGATAACACTCTCAGACTGGTATGCTAAATATGAAGCTACAACCAGCAGCAGGCTGTCTTAGTGTAGAATGAGGACTGACAACAGGGCTTAGGGTTATAACATTGCTAACCTTGTATTGTCACGCTACAACTACAGCCTCTGTACACACATGCAGTATATTGTATAGTCTTGATTACTTTATGTACCTGTAGGATCGTGAAGTTTTCCAGTACGCTGTTCATCATGTATTTCTCTGGCAGGTGTTTAAGTTTGTGGATGAAGTTGATCATGTATTCACATAACGGGGAACGGTGGATCCGAAACACATAGCGCCCATTCTCAAAACGTGCATACTCCGTCTAGAAAAACAAATTCAATATACTATAAAAACATGCCATGTATGAGAGTGCACAGTATACAGTACAACAAAACTGAGTGCAGAGAAAGCTGTGGTGTTCACACATTCTTTTATGGCCTTGTTATTGTAATTAGCCTTAACTGGAAATTACAGCTGCAATCACCTTGCTGCGATGATCACAGGTAAATTGGCTTTTGTTGCAGTGGTCACATGTGTACTCATTTTTATTGCATCGAGTTTGGGGTCCATATTTTTTATGTAATCTGTCTAACATGTTCTTAATTTAATAGATTACAATCACATACCCAACACTTAAATCATACAATTATTGTACAATGATACTGTGCAAGTGTGAATTATTTAATATTTTAGTGATATTCCACTCGGGGTGTATTTACTTTTGTTGTATAGAGTATGTAAGACCATGTGGAAAGAGAATTTAAAGTGCAGTGAATGCAATAAAAATACAGTGATGCATACTCCACTGTTAACTCATGTAGATGTTTTGGATATGAAGACTCATGTGATAAGATGTAAAATGTATAATATAATATAATATACCTAATGCAGTATGTGCCATGCTAGATAAGACAATAAACATATTTATTATGACAACTGTAATCAAATGATGAAGCCATTAAATATTATCAGGTGGTCTACTAAGGCAGATGGTTCTACCAAGGGACAGGGGATTTGTGTGTATGTGTTTATATTGTACAATCCATCAGCAAGGGGTGGGGGCAGGGCCACTACTGTGTCTAGTTAATGGGAAGCATAACAGTTAGTCATGCCAGAGAGATTTGTGAATCACGTCAGTTTCCTGACCACGGATCAGTGGTAATTGGCTGGAATCCATCTCTCCACCAACAGCAGTTATTCACTCCTCTGGGTGATAATAGTAGTTTGCTGATGTGGTCATGACCTCTTCATGTTGAAATATCACATTTATCAAACAATGATGCAAACCTCTTGAATTGTAGTCACATACTGTAAAGTGCACAGGCTGCTGTTGATCATGGAAGGAACTTTGCTATGCCCAAATGCATTTTCTACTAAATGTACACACACGTTATGTAAATCTACAAATATATCAATATGAAGGGTATTACTATAAATGTTATTAACTGCATTTATAACAAAAATTAACAGATACAAATAATGGTGAAAAAAAAAATTAAGCAAATACATGAAGAAATCTCTCACCAAAGTTTCCATTGTAAATCACTTAAAAATGCTGTATAAATTTCTGTATTATCAATGTCTTAAACCCACAGAAACTTGAATTCCCAGCCTTAGTTTTTGATAAACGCTCAATTTTAGCATATTTTCATGTAAATATTATAATTACATATTATCACATGTAAATAAACACATTGCAAAGGGAGAGGCAGTACATTTTGTCAGTCCTGAGCAGGGCTGCCTGTATGAAGCCGAAAGGAAAAACCAAGAGTAAAAGCGTCTTTCATCTTGATTGTGCTTATTAGACAGTAGGTGAACACTATAAAACAAGCAGGATTGCTGTCTTTTCAGTGTCAAATGATGAGGAAAGATGGTCACAGAGGAGAGAAAATGTAGTGATGAAAAATGAGTAGTATTTTATAATAAATTTAGGCTAAGTGTCTGACCTCCAGTCTATTCTAGTCTAAATTTACACATGTGAAAATGGTATACAATAAGCTCAAGTCTTACCTCCACTTTCTCCACCACCTGCTTGCCAAAGGAGCAGACTTTGGTGGATGAGGTGATAATCATGTTTTCAGAGCTCTCATACTGACTGGAAACACCATAAAAGAAGCTGCTGTCATCCTGCAGGTTTACACTAAGGTCCGCCTAGAGAGAAGAAACAGACAGCATGTCAGGATCTGTAAGTCTGACCCAGAAGGAGTCAGCCTAGTGATGCATGTATGAGGATTTGTTGTTCTTCTCAGTAAGACATAACGCCTTTCAAGTGGACATACTGTATGTGCTGCACTACACTGCTCCTACTGGGCACCCAGAGTCTCAAGTGTATAAAGTAGTCAGGATCTACTTTTCCATCTGAGAAAGACATATCAAGAAGTATTATAGCTCAACAAAGCTTGACTGTGATTCTCTGTAAAGCCTTGTGTAATTTGGTCACATCCAGTCTCCTAATTTCCAAGGTGCCAAGTGTCTGTGTGTGTGTGTGTGTGTGTGTGTGTGTTATTTTGCAAGACAGAAACACATGACTTTGATTTCTGATTTAAGGTGCATTCAATTGGCATTGTGTTTACTGCATTCATAAGAAAGGTCCATTTGAACAAGCCACCCAACTGGAAATGTTCTGATAGAGATCACGGGTTGTGATATACTATATGCTGTGACATAATAAAAAATGTTGGAGCTCATAGTTAGAATCAAATAACTTTTTACATTTTTAAACTAATATTTATTCCTAAGCATGGTAACGAAACACGGAAAACAAAATCCTACACAATTTTTGCAAAAAAGAAACAAAGCTACATCGATTTTGTGTCGTCAGCTACCTGGAAACAACTTAAACCACTTGAAGCCTGAGTATCTTTGGACAGTACCTGAAACCTATGTTGAAAATATGACCTTATAAGTTCAATTTAAAGGCAGCCAAGGTTCATGTTCATTCTTTCTCAGGTGAATGCAGATTCACCAACCTCTGATCTTCCCACTAGTTTGAATTGAGGCAACTATAATCTAATTTGGGATCAGACTGAGGTGCTGTCTCCTCCGTCAGACAGCTGGACTGTTTTACCTTTTCCCCTGTCGGGTTCTTGTCTCCTAATGGGCCATTGAGACACCGCTCAGCCTCCTCTCATCTCTTCATCACCCCGTTCATCTTCATCCCTGGCTCATGTAATTCCTCTATTTGTCTTCATCCCTAGGGCCTAGTGACCCTCTCCGAACCGCCATTCCCTGCTTCCCTAACAGCCTGCGAGGGAATTCATCCAATTACAATCAGCAGCATGCAATTGGCTGATTAGATCATTGTGGGCAGGCTGGCTGTGTAACAATTTAGCAGAGCCAGCTCAAATCGGATTCCCTCGGCACTTCAAAGGCGTGAGACAATCCGTTAGGACAGGGCCACAGGCGCTGAGGGGGTGAGGAGGACGGTGGGGAGAGGGGCATGGCAGCCAGTGGCGGACAGGGGTGTTTGCTGGAAATTCAATCTAGAATGCCACAGCTTTGGAGGCGGGCCAACCGCCTGTCACTGTCACCATGCCAACCTGCACCTCAGTACACCCCCGAGTCATGACCTGCCACATGGCTATGTCACTGCAGCAACATCAGCTAGGCTCCGTTCATCTTTTACAATAGTGTAAATTAGATTATTTTATCTTTAGATGTGGTGAGGATTTCATTTTGCTTATTCTCATGGCCAAGAGCATCTTTGCTGTGTATTTTTTTCAGTATGGGTGTTGAAATGTCCAGCTGTTTTGTAGCATTTCTACGTTTTGCCATGGATGCCTTAAGAATTGGAGGTCCCCCTTGGGATAGAATAAGATGAACAGACTGAGAGGGAACAGTATTATGAGCTTGTTTTCCTCTAGTGCCGAGTTGCACATGTCATAACTGTTGGCCCTACTAGGCACTGGCATGAATCAAGAGAGTAATATTTAATTGACGAATGAGTTGTTGTCATGCCACCCACCATTTCTCTGCCATCCCTTTCTCTTGTTCACAATGTCTGTGTCCCTATTATTATTACTTGCTTTTTCTTGCCTCTTTTTTCCTCTGTAATACATGGTAGAACTACTCATCCCCTCTTTCTCCTCACCCCTGAGTCAAATGCCGCAGCTCGTCCAGCTGCTCTTTCCAGGGATTGGAGAAGACTACTTCCAATATGCATCACTCACCAATGTCTTCTATCTCTCCACAATAAATAATGTGGCAGTCGAACATATGAGAAGGGTAGTGCCCCACATACAAAGCCATCTGGTAGCATGACATTTCCAGGCGGCACTTTGAACTTGACATTGACAGTCTTTGGCCCTCCTAACCACAGTAGCTCAAACTATATTATATATCTGCTTTGCAAGTCACCAGTGGCCTCTATGCAACACAACTTTAACCCATGGATTGACCCATCAAGTTTTTAAACCGGTCAGAGTGAAACATTTCCAGTTATTACTCTCATGATTGCTAACATGTTTCACAGTGTGTCTCAGTAATGAAGATGAGGGATTGTCATTATGTGTCCACCAGTCCATCCAACCTCCAACCTTGGAACACCCAACCACAGTAGTTAAAGGATCCACATTACTGCTAAGAACCTGTGATTGTTTGTCATCTTTTCTTATTTGGAACGCCATGCTTTTCAAACCTGCAAAACACTGTTTTGTGAAATGTGAAGACTGATCCCTAACACTGTTTGATCAGGTTTGCAGTGGCAGGTGAATGCTGATCTGTTCCACTAATTTGTTCTTACTGTAAAGTCAACATTCCAATAAAAATAAAAAGCAGAAAATCATGTAGAATATACCACAGATTCTTACTAAAGGTTTAGCTGCAGATGAGTTGACCTTTCCAGAACTTTTGGAATTAAGTTACTTCAGAGTTAAAGTCCTTTTCAAGAGGTGTTTATATTTTATATGTGTAGATGGAAGAACCCCGAGGTAAACAAGAGGGTGGGGTTTGTAACTGTGTACGTGTTGTGCTTGACACAAATACCAAAGGTCTTGTCCTGAGGTAAAGCAAGGTAGTAAGATCAGAGAAATGAACAAAGTGGACGTGTCCAATTATACCCGATTCTCCCTGTTTCTCTCTCTCTCTCTCTCTCTCTCTCTCTCTCTCCCCTCCAAATCATTTTTTATACTCACTTTCAAGTTAACTTGCATTGTTTCAATGCAAAATCACACACAATCCTCAATCTGTCTGCATCTTAAGTTGACTTTGTCATAATGCTTCACTCTCTCATCTCTCTCAGTGTGCGTTGGGTGTTTCTCTGTGTGTATGTTTTGGAGGGGCTTATCTATAAATAAAGATATTGGAGGGTGTATGAGGGTTGGACTCAGTCTAATAGTGTGGAGACAGGTGCCTGGGCTCACATTTCCCCTAGTGAAAGATCAGGCCTGCCACTCTCCTCGAGGCTGCTGTCACACACAGTCACACACACACACACACACATATATCACAGATATATACAAATACACGCATGTCAAATCCATGCTGTGCAGCAATGTCCTTTTTGCTAGCATGTAAATCACCAATCAAGTCACGGGAGCAATGACTTTCCATTCATTCTAGGCCTAAAATCACACTTAAATTCCTTTAACTCCACTGATTAAGGCATCACAATACAGTTAACACTGCTAGTCCTTCAACAACTAACAGACACTGCAAAACATTAACAAGAGCATTCACTGAGCCCTCACTTCACCTTTATTCTTGCAAAGTATTATATGCTCTGATGATGTATGAAACCACACAGATTGTCAAACTACAGTATATATAAATGAGTCTGAATTAAAATGAGTGGTTTTTAATTAACTGAAAGAATGAAAGTGAACTTAGAGAAACTAGATTGAAATGAAAGGGAAAGAAAAGAGAGTGAATGAACTGTGAACTGAACTGGACTTCTCCAAAAAAAAAAAACATCCTTACCCAAAACTTGACGAGAAAGAAAGCATTGTGTGGGCCTTTGTCAAAAAGTTCATTCAAGCCTCCTTTCTTCTCTGGGAACTTGTCGTAGATCTGCCTGATGTCCACTGACTCCAAATAGGGATCACTGTAGCTCGGGTTAGACTGGCCAATATGCACAAACAGGTGCTTGTTGAACTGAAGAGACAAAAGTGCATATCAGGAGATGAGCAGAGCCAAAACTGTCAAATGCCCAATTTGCTAAATATCCATTAACACCAAGTGCACACTCAGGCACTCCAGGACATGTGTCACATTGGGCCTGCTGTTCCATTGCATCATATATAATGTAATTTCCTATCAGCTGTCTTATGGGTTCCACACTTTCCCCCCCCTCTTTTGCCAGTCATTATGGTGTGATGTGCTGTTGTATATACAGTATACTTTAACAGGATTCAGCCTACAACCTTTGTGAGTTGCTGTCATACCAAAGATTGAAGAATTAGGCCACAATATCAAGCCTTTTTCAACACATCTGTTTCCTTCGATTTTCAGTTAAAAGACCTTTGGGTAATATTACTCTGTATCATTTTACTGTATTGAGCAGTGTGTTTGCTTGTTTTACAGCTGTGTAGATGATGATGATGATGATGATGATGATGATGAATCTTTGAATTTTGGCTCTTTGAACCTCTTCATCTGCTTTATTTCAGTAAAATAAACATTGGTGAAGAGGGCAAAACACTTTTGGTTCATAGATAAGACAAAGTCATCTCTATTCTTGTCTGCTTACAGTCTCTGGGTCTTGAGGTTGCTCCAGGAAGGCAGAGAACTCCAGCATTCGCAGCTTGGAGCTGGCAATACTTCTACCCAGCCAAGGGGGGGCACCAGGAGACATAGACAGCCCTGCGGTGCTTTCATAACCTGCAGACATGAGGGCAGTCAGTACATAGATATATGGTTTGAGTGTGACAAAGTAAAAGTTGAAAATGCAGCAATAGTGCAGTTATTTCTTTGAGCTTTGTGTGAGCTCTATATCATAAGCCTGGTCGTCTCCGCGCTTTGCTGGCATGACAGCCTTCTGTCAACACAGCAGGAGGAAGAAAAAACACCCACCTGTTAAGGGGGCCGGGCCGGATGCTTGTATGGCATAACTCTGTTGGGAGAAGGGCTTAATGCTGGAGAGACGAGACAGACAGGAGAGGGAGAGGTATGTTACGCACAGTCTCAGCCTCATGGACCCATCTCACATACTAATTGGACCAGTTGACCTCTAAAGACGCAGGTGGAAGAGTGGTTTGGTGAATGTCAGACAGCTGAAGACTTTTATTTATAATTGTACTGATATGTTTTCATTTGTTCTGAGATTCATTCCCTGACTGAAACGTATCTGATGGTTAGTAAGCTGATCTCATGAAAACAAATTACGGATTGATACCGTTGCACTACACAGTTTAAAAATGGCTACTTACTCTTCATGGCCTCCTGGCTGTCCTGTAAGTGCCCCGTGCCAAAACTAGGAAACGCAAAACAAACAAACAAAAAAAGGATATAAATATGTATATATACTGAATTTACATAGAAGAACAGCAGTCACAAGATAAAAATAACCCAACAACCAAGGAAATGATGGACATGTTGCAGTATGTAGTGATGGAAATACTGGCATTAAAACTGCATATCTTGGGATGAAGTCAAAGGCATTGCTTTTATGAATGTGGCTTTGTCTTTCTAGTTAATCTGATTTTATAGGGGAGAGTGGTCAGGGACTCACCCCACCGGTAGTGGGATAAGCTGGTCTAGACAGGCCCTGGAGAGCCATCTTGTTCGGGAAGGCTGTGGGTGAGATGATCTGGGCTGAGGACATGGTGGCCATACTCTGCAGAGCTTTGTCTTTGGCAGCCTGGTCCTACAAAATGGGACAGAGAGTGATCGGACTCCATTTAAGTCAGTGTCCCACTTCAATGGTAACACAAGGAGAGCCCTAAAAGGGTAAATGAAAGACTGAGGCTAGCTTGCATCACCCGTGAATCTCTGCCAGACAGAGCGCTAAAAAGAAGGTGATATTACAGTCGAGTTTATTGTTTTGGCATGGGCAAGACAGTGATGACAAGTAGATTCTGTTGGAGGTCATACTGCAAGACGTGGCAGGTAACAGAGTTATATGTTAAAAAACACCTAACAATGGTATCAAAACTACTAAATGCTGATGCAATTAGAGTTTACAATATGAGAAAGCAAGGAAATTGCCTTTCCTGTGCTGTACTGCAAAGTGATACACCTCTTGTTTTTGAATCCACTCCTTCAGCAGTTTCCATACCGCACAGGACTACAAGGACTTGCCACCCAGCCCTCATGGGCAAGGCCATACGGTGCATTCTTTTTCCCAGAACTGGCCAACACAAGGGCATAGCTGAAATATGGGGGTACATGTGGTAGGGATCTCAGTTACACCAAAGACGTATTTAAAAAGGCCTGTCACAGTGGCCAACCCTGTGACCACTGCTGGGACCTGCCAGCTGAACTCCCATGGCTACTGTCCAACATGAGTCCTGTTGCATACTGTGAGTGCGAGCATGTGAGTGCATGTGGCTGAGAAATGTAAACTGAGAAAGTACTCGGGGTGACAGAGATGTGTAGGCTCTCTGGATACCACACAGCAAAACTTTTATTGAGGTAATACCAAATGTAATACCTGGAAGGAACAATGCAAGGATTAATTTGTTTTCTGACAATTGCATTTGGTTCATCTTGTTCATGCACAGTAAGCCTCGGGCTTCCAGAAATATGTTCACATTTCATCTAAATGTGTCAGCATCCTATTTAAAACTAACATCAATTAGAGAGTGCAATTAAAATAGCCAGTGGTTTGTGTCCTTTGTCTTAATGGAACGTGAATGCATGTCAGTGCAGGGGGCAGGCATGTTGAAATACCTTTTAACAAAACATGAAACTTTATTGGAAGAGAAAATAATATTGAGTAATAATGTTTTCACCCTCTTTCCATCTGCTGCTGCTGCTCAAATTAATTGAAATCACAGTAATGACCACAGCTAAATGGAAGCATCATGATCTAAAGCCAGTATGAGTCCATCTCAAATAAAAAGACAACACACTAATGGCAAGTAACGTGCACAGAGGAGCAGTAGGATTCAAAGATGCTGATTTATAATTATTAATTTGATAAATTCCACATATTTTGAATGTTCTTTTTTTCCTTCAAATCATGTTGTTTCCAAAGTATTTGGTTAATATAAAAAACAGAAAGAAGTTGACTCACGTAGCGTACCTTCAGCTTCACCTGGATCTCTCTGGCTTTCCGTCGTGCTAGAACCTGGATGTGACTGGACACCTGAAAGACACAGACAACATCCCAACGGAGTTAAGCATTTGTTACTGTGTGCCACATTTGAGTGGCATGGTGACTTTATGGTCAGCACTGTTTCTGCTTCACAGTATGAACATCCTGGGCTTCAAACTTGGCCTGGTCCACAGGGGTTTTCAACCTATATGTGTTTACAAGGATTTCCTTCTGGTGTCCCTGTTTCATCCTACATCCTACAAAGCTACTGGCCAAAGATGTGAATGTTTGTCTTTTTGGCATCCTGCCTGCGGTGTACACCTCTCACCCAAGGCCCACTGGGATGCGTTCCAGTCCACAACTGTGCACAGAATGAGTGGGTCTCCAAAACATTAATTTTGTGGAGTGTCAAGATGCTCTTTGGCAAACGTCAGGCACGCAGTGATGTTTTTATTTTCTTTGGAGAGCAGCAGCTTTGCCTGTGGTGTCCTGCCACAGGCACCATGCTCCATGCAACCAGGCACCATGATTTGCATATGACACTGAGAGACCTTTTACAGAGACGTTAACCTGCTCCAGTGATTCCTTTAAGCTTTTAGTTAGGCTCTGGGCTTCTTTTCCTCATTAAGTATTCTGCATTGTGCAGAACTCAGTCGTCTCTATTTATGGACAGTCTGTGTAATTGTGGACTGAGTATCTTCTTATTCTTTAAGAATAATTTGTAACCCTTTCCAGCTTTAAGCAAATCAACAATTACTGGTCATAAGTCTTCTGAGATCTCTTTGTTGCGAGGCATGGTTTACACTGTGAATAGCAAACTGAAAACACTGGTTTGTGTTTTTTAAAAGTCAAAGTAGCTCTAACCCACACCTCCAACCCTTATTTCATTGACTGGACTCCTGCTTTGCTAACTCCTGACTTCCATCAACTTTTGTTGAAGTTATTAGCCTAGGGGCAGTGTTAGGGAAACTACTGCGAAAACACAACTTTACAAGCTACCAATCACTTCACACTGAACAAAGCTGAACTACAGCAAAACTACCATAGGGAAATATCTAGTCTGGTTAACTAAAGCTACTTAGAAAAAGTAGTTCAAACTATTTTGTAATGTAAAAAAAAACAATCAAATGGACAATGCACGAATTTATAACAAAATATAATATAGATGAGTCACATATCAGGAAAAAAAAACAATCCAACTTCCTGGAATAGCCCTCAAACCTAAACATGTCCTGGATGAAAAAAAAAAATCCCATCCAGGCTTTTCACAAGGACAAAATTGCAAGGAATGTTCTATTTAAGTTGTAAATGCCCCAGCATTGTAGGGTCAGCAGCTAACTACACAAAAATGGCAAAAAGTATTTTAATTACTTGAATCACTATGGAAATATGAATGTAGTTCAACTACTAGCAAGTGACTGCAAAATATAGTAAAACTATTAGTTTAATTACATGCAGTTCACTACTCCCTAAAACTGCCTGCTGTTTTTCAACCTACACTGTGAGCATCATTATTTAATATGGACAAAAACAATACAATATTATGAGTAGAGTGCATTTGTTTATGACTGTTACTTGATTGACGATCTGTCCACAGTTTTATACACATGTATACGCAAATGGTGATAATTCCAAAGGGTTTACTCCTTGACTTTAACTAATGAATTGTTTTGAAAAGCAAATTATTACTGAACCATCATTTAATGATTGAATTTACTGTATATTTTAATATAATTAAAAACTGCCCTCTTTCCTACATGACACTGAACCTTTGTTGCTGGTGTCTTCTGTCTCCGTCAGAGCTCCACCCACTTGATTGTCCTTAAGGAGCTGTGCTACACAACAGCCAGTCAGGTTAATGCTGTTGAAGCAGCAACTCTATCACTCCAACCTGTCCCACTGTCCATCTCTGACCCGTCACTGCCGCCCTTCTCTACTCACGTCCACTCATCTCTTTTCATTCCTACACTGACTGCCAGACAACTTAGCATTAGCAGAGACCCTTTTCTTCACATCCATCACTGCCCATACATCAGTCCATCCATATCGAATACCATAGTGAGGATAAAGTTCCAAATCCCTCACCCTTCCCGCCTCAGTCTCCCATCCAGATCACCATATTCCCCAACTTTCTTACCCTTCTAACAAGCAGCAGATCCACAAGGTGGTGAAGAAAGAACACCGACACTTGATCCTATAGCACCTGTGCAGTGGGCCCGGGCCCTAAATCAATCGCCATCCCCTGTTTTCTATGTAGGCGGGAGAGATGGGTCATTTACCCTTTTAGGAGAGTTTGGGGGGTGGGGGGTGGGGGGGCGGCCAGACTGTTGGGACATCACTCAGCAAGACAGGACTTTGTGGAAGGGTTCAAAAATAGGGGCTGCGTCAAATGGCTTTTGCAGACAACTCACCTGCTTCCTGGTCCGTGTCTTCCCTGTGCGAAGTTTGATGTACCGTGCAATCAATTCATTTCGTCCTGTAATGATCCAAAAAACACTGTTTTAGTTTGACAACAATTAACACTTAGTGGAAATTTTCAAGCTCAATGTAATTTTAAATTAATATGACATTAAATGTTTTATTTTGTATTTCCTTTCAAATGTGGAGAGACTTTAATGAATATTAATGTCAAATACTGTAACTACCACTTGTCTTATTGTAAATAGTTATATAAAATAAATGAAAGGAGAATTAATAGGTGAAAGACAACTTGGTCCTTATTTTTAATAAGAATTTAAAATGTACATATCAAAAAAGTCAAAGTAGGTTGCTTAATTACTCTCAAGTAGTGAGACAGAGAAAAGATGAAAATGTATAGACTGCACATATTTATACAAATGGTTGTGTAATGCTGTCATTACTGTCACCATATAATCCAATAAATTACTTAGTTAAAATACATCTGTGTGCACATAAAATATTTGTTTGCATGCATGCACATATAGATAAGTGTGCAAACACACATCCCCATAGCAAGAGTCAAGGCTGTCAAGTGTGTCAACGCTGAAAACTGCAAGTGTAAGTATATCACTAAGTACATACATCTGCCTGTGTGAGAGCTTGCGTCGGTCTCAGGCTGACCCCCCCGAGTGTACACTGAGCTCATATCTCTACAGTGAGTGTGTGTCTGCGTGCTGCTACTGATGACAGACAGGTCACATTGGCAGAGCAGGTGGAGGCTGCAGCCATGCGATCCTCAGACCAGAGTCAGGATAGACATGACATGGGCCGGTGACCAAAGGGTGGCCTGTCTGGTGGGGCCGCCAAGCAGCTGGTGCGTATGTCAATGTGTATGGATTATGCCTTTATGCTGACAGTAAATCTTGGGCTTTCCCCCCATAACCCCCCATAACCCCCCATCGAGAATCTCTGGTTATAGCAGAGGGCAACGGGCATGTGGCTTCTTTCACCTTCTTCTTCAAAAGTAAATCTCGAGTTTAAAGGCTTAAATGAGTAACACTCAACATTCTGGAGCATTATTCACAAATAGTCTGTGAGTTTTTGATGCAAATGTAGGTTTGACAATAAATTATGCGGCTTTAGAGACTATATACTACTGCCATTTACTTGAATTATCAGATAAATTGTTAAATAATAGATTAATGGCAGCTCGGTATTAGAGATCAGACAAACAACACACACTCAAGAGCAGTTACACAGTGTATCACACAACTGTAGCACTCAGGAGAACTCTCACGCTCCCACACAGGGCCCCACACAAATACAAACAAATGCACACACACAAACATACAAGGGTTTGCTAAACTTTGCACTACCTCTTAAACAAGGTCATTTTCCCCTTGGCACCACATCCCCATGTAGATTAACACAGATCTGTCACGACACACACACAACCTGGCTCAAACTCGTCAGACATTCCCTCAAATAGTGATGCTTGGTTCAGACCTCACAACACTCTACAGATGGGCCAATCAGTTTTTTTTAAAGAAAAAGGCTGATGTCCTTCTGAACTCCCATAAAAAATTTCTTCATCCAATAAAAGTGATCGGATTTTATGCAAAATGCAAAACACAGTTTCTCCCCGGTGCTCATGCAAGTCAACTATTCCAGTCTCCACCTTTTAAGGACTCTAAAGACAACTAGCAATGAATTTCCCAAAGAAAAATCACATACTGAGGCTAATGATGTTTAGATGACTTATTACACATTATTTTGGCATTCATATTTGTGCATGCTCTATGGAAGCTTTTATTAAATCATGATCATATAACTTTACCATCCCACACACAATGGCCACACATGATTAGGAGCAAACACTATAGAAATGTGGGACCCACATATCCTGTAAACAGGAGCCAATAATTCAGTGTTCAAGAGCTGCCTGCTGGATTATAGTACCACTATATGTAATCATGATATGCTGAAGACATGTTGTATTTGCTGTTTTTTTTTTTATTATTTAAATAAATGTATGCAAAACTGAATACTGACACTGAGTGGATTATTCTGGTTAAATCAAGTAGTGAAAGTAAAATGAAACTTCAGCATTTGATATTTAAAAAATGGACTCCGAAGCAACACAGAAACTCAAATGGTACAATTGTTAAAAGTGTTCACCTTATACAACACAGTGACATTATCTGTAAATCTGTGAATTAATAAGTGTTGGCTTGGAGGACAAAAGAGGAAAAAGTGGTGGATATTAGTCCTTATAAAGTTCCAGGCCCCTGAAACATGCATTCACACACACATTACCTAGCTGTAAAACTGCTTTTGTGTGAGGTTTATGTGAACTAACCCCCTCTCTCAAATGCTGTCTACTTTAGTTTATACACACTGTCACACACATGCAATAAATATAGACATAAACTCACACATACACACATTCACACACATGGCATTCATTCCATCTCAATCTTATTTTCCTTTCACGGCTGCAACTCCTCAACCGTTTAGTGTTTATCGGGACGTGCACTCGCCTGCCGATTGTTTGAGCCCCTAAATACATATTTCTTTAATTCCCCGGGGATTAAGAAAGCGTTCCACATTTCCTTGCAATCAAACTCTTGAAAAGGCAAACATAGAGCTTTGTCAAACTCCTCACAGTACTTGACCTCAAATGAACATTAAGTTGCCTGTATCGAGTTCCTCACATTACATCAGCAAGTTCCTCCAGTTCCCAGCAATTTATCTTCTCTGTACAGTAAAATGTACATTGTGTATCCAATCCAACAGGGATTTTCAAAGTTGCAGACACAGATGCATGAACAGGTCTGCACAGATGAATAAAAACTTTCTAAGAATTCAGAAAAGCAGCCCCTCTTTTCATTTTGGTAGCCAGACACTGTTGAAACCATGTTATGGATTTGCAAGACTTTCCTGGGCTTAAGATACTGTCAGACTTAATCAACCTGGAAAGTGCCATGTTAACCGCAAGTCAAGCACAAACTTGAAAGATGCTGGAAATAAGGGTTGTGAAGTTCCTCAGTGAAAATGCTAGGCAGAATGCATATAAAACCGTTCAAAAGAAACTCTCAGGAATAATGATTTAAAAAGGTATTCTACCACAGAGGAAAGACTGTTTTATTGCTATGGCAGCATCCCCATTCAAAATTAGGTATGTATTGTAAGCATTAAACAGCTTCATTAATGGGCTGTTGAAGAGGCTTTGCTTCATCTCGTATCAGATGCTCTGCCACTCCTAGTGTGACTACTCGGGGAAGGGTCCATCAAAAATACCCATGAGATCAGAGAGGGGAGTCAGTCACACAGCGATGAGATCATGATATCCAATGGGAGTAGCACAGACAGCCAAGGCTGCAGGAAAGTCAGAAGGAACATTACACCATCACCCACTGGTCTGCAGTTTGATGTTGTTTATCACACTGCCCACAGTCACGAACTTGTCTGGGGGAAATCTGATTCTGGAAACATTTCTTAAGGGCATGAAAAGTGACCGACCACAGCAGAAGTGCAGTCGGGTGTTCCAGAGTTCAGGGGATACTGCTAGATTGGAGTTAGAAAATACTATACAGTCATTTGTGAGTTTATAGAGAACAGCACTGCAGCTGGTGCATGTTGGTTAAGTTTCCAGTCTCTGCTTTGAATTGATTTGGTTATTGTATACTGCTGGATATTTATTGTTTCCACACTGCCACAGATAGAACTGTCTTCACTCCTCATTTTTCAAAGTTGAATATGCATTTGAACAGAAACTGACTCAAAAGCATGTGTCTAAAGTTGTTCTGAGTGGTACTATGTCCCAAAGCATACTTTAAATTGTGCATTTCTATCTTAAAGCAGCCCAAACGTTTGCTGAACTGTAATTACAGAACGATGGCACATGAACCTCCCTAAATCTCAAGATTTTCCTGAGTCATTTCAACCATGTCATCACAATATTACTAAGGGCATGTGTCACTTAGAGGCAAACATGCTGTTAGGGTCATCTTTACTACCAAGCTGTCCCAGTGGCCAAACAATGTATTTTGACAAAAACACTTGTGGGACCCAATAAACAGTTTATTTGTAGACTGTCATTATAAAAGAGACATGACATTCAGTGCAGCGATCCAACTTTTTCCCTCCAAACACCTGATACCTCAACTCAGGATACCTGCAAATACAGAGTGGCAGTTTATAAAATTTAAAATCTTTATACCTCACTGGAACTAAATGGAATTATTTTTATGAAAGGTAAGAATGATGTAGATCAGTCACAATCTGGCCAGTGCCTGACTGCTCGAAGTCATATTGCTGCTGATACCGACCCAGAGTGCATCGCTACAGAAAACTGGTGCACAACAGTATTTAGTTAGCTCAGATTCCGGTCATACACAAGCAAGTAATGCTGTAAATATTCTTACAGATCTACACAGAAAGTGGTATGAGTAACAACAGGTGACAAAAGAGAACACATCTCCTAAACCTCAAAAAGTTGCTGTGCAGCCCTACTCATCAAATAAAACTGAAGACATGATTTGAACACTAGACCTGAACCTGAAAAACAGCTGTGCAAATGTGAATCACATCTGTGCATGTTTGTTTACATGAAGACTGAAAAGTATGTATCTTAAGACTCCCTAAGAGTCATGAATTGAAGGCAGGTTCATTTTGTTGCATATAAAAACAACTTTTCATGATTATTATTTCAGTCCAAATTGAATAGACTTGCTGTAAGCGCCTCAGTACAAATGGGGTATCTTAAATTCTATCAAAAACAAAATATAATTAATTTTTACAATCCTTGATCAAAGATGACCCCTAAATTTCTTGCGAACACTGTTTTGCCAGTTTGTCTTCTCCTCTCGTCCTCAGGCCTGTTAGCAGAGGTCATAGAGAGGAGGACAGCGTCAGTGAAGGTGACCTACAGTGTCCCTTCCAAAGTCAACCCCTGGGCCTGATTGGTCATAAATCTGCTCTTGCCCAATAAGGCTGCAGTTAGTCTTGGTCTGTCTTTCCTTCTCAATGTCTCTCTCTCAGACCAGTAAATTCCTGAAATTCCTGTACACTGAC